CCGACCAAGGGTGAGTACGACTGAAAAATTTAACTTAATTTTTTTTTAAATTGTTTTTCATTAAGTTTTGGAAGTTGGTCGTAGCAGGAGTCGAACCCTGGCCGTCCGTATGTTGGCACGTAATGCTAACCACTCGGCTATAGCACTTTAATAATGCAAGTTTTACAGCTAGTAAGCAGCATCTTGTCCCGAATTGGCTTTGTGAAATCCCAGCAGGAAAAAATAGTGGCTTTTCGCTAGAATCCAACTGGTATGAAGTTCGGAACTAACCAGTTCATCTTCCATTTATTTCTCATGTAAGCAACTGGTATGTTCTGCAAACAGTCAATTGTTCAACTATACATCACTAGTTGTATACTAGTTCAATGAGATATGCAGAAATTCTTCTTCTTCTTCTTCAAAAAAAAAAAAAAAAAAAATAAAAATAAAAAAAATTAAACAAAAATGCAAATGACTTTACCTGCAGTGAGACCCGAACTACGAACCTTATGCGTCACAGTGAAAAGCTCTAACTACCAAGCTATCATTTCAATATATAGAGCAAAGGGAGTTACGCACTTTAAAAGAGTTTATTAAATAATTAGACTTAACGGTATTACTTGGCAGGTCACCCAACTGGTATGATTTCGGCTTAAAAATTTATGAAAACTTAATTTTCGAAAATTTAATATAATAAAAGGAAAAATTACAGTTTACAAAAAATTTCATAAGTGATAATCAGAAAAAAAAATTAAAATAGAGATATATATGTATGTAGATAATCTCTAAATTCATTGGTAGTTCGATAATTGATATTTTCAAATTAAAAAAAAAAAACAAACTGCATATTTTAGGAATTCGGGATACTAGTCAGGGCGTATCTCACCAGAGAAAAATTTTTTTGCTTTTACCACATCAGAAGACGAAGAGATGCGTTTTTATTAAAAAATAAATATTATAAGGGGAAAGGCAAATAAAATAAAATAAAGCAATTAACAAAAATATTTTAATTTTATTAATTAAACTGTATCAAGAGGTATATAATTTATTTTTTGTTTTTATTTTATTGCTTTTTTCTACCGTAATTTAAAATTAGCGTAATGAATGCTTCAGAGAAAAAATGTACATAAGTACATATCATATGCAAGCCGACAAATTTCAAAATATTTGCATAGACATTTTTGCATGGTTCTCAATATCATGTCTTTAATCATATGCTTTGTAAATAAGTCAATTTGTATTCGAAGAGATTTTAATCTATACTCATATACATGCACTCGTATGCATGCACTGCATTTGAATCAAGCTCACAAATACAAACAAGATGTGCAATTAGAAATTTAAAATAATAATGCCATTCGCTCTTCTCATTAATCTCCTGGGATTTACTATTAATAATTTTAATTAACTTTGAGCAAATTGATGCAGCACTTTAACCAATTAAAGGTAAATTATTTGATTTAATTGAAAAAGCGAAAATTTCAAATGAAATGACAGTAATTTTCCCAGATTGGCTGCACAAAAGGGATAAATGATAATTTATTAACTTGATTCGGTTGTAAACGTGGTAAAGTTATTCACTTAATTAATCAAAAATTGAAGAAAAACTCAAATTAAATTATGTTTAACTTGAATTTCCTGATATAAGTTTTTTCTCTTTTTTTTATTCATTAATCTATTGGGATATATGAAAAAGATTTTAGATCCTAATTTCGCTTCAAAGAAGTTTATGATTGTAAAGAGATTATGGAGGCTCTTTTTTCGGTAAGCTTTATGTATAATTTTAGTTTTATAAGTCCTAAAAGGTAAAATTTATGAGTAAGATAGTACTGATGAATTGCTCCCAAAGACAGATAATAAATTGTGGTGTAGAGGGGACAACAAATGCCAAAATGAAATATGATTCGAATTCTTGCTCATTAACATGGAATATCAACAATTCACAAAACCAACGATACGAAAAAATTTAAAACTAAAAAGCCTCCCATGGATGGAAAAATAAAATATTCATGAAAAAAAAATCAAGAAATAAATGAAATTGGGTTCACTGATCTAACACTGGTAATAAGCGTGTCTATGGTACTGTAGAGAAACAGAGTACATTACAAATTTCAGCCAAATTTGTTATGTAATGGCCTTCTTCGTAGCACAATAAGAATCGCTGCTGGTAAATCGAAGAGTGGAATTAATGTTCAAAATTTAACATTTTTACTGTACGATATGATTGATGTGGTGTAAATGTGCTTTCGAAAAGCTTATCGGCCTCAGCTATGTAAATTACTGGTTCTTTTAGTCGAGTTATTACTAAAGAAGTATTTTTTTCTAGACCGTCCTCAACTTATATTGATGACGATGATGACGATGAAAGCGAACTTTTTTAAAAGTTTATTCATGCATCTATAGATAGCATTGTCCCTATCGTGGTTTCAAATGTACAGGGCTGTATTTGGTCATCTGACAAACACAATTGTTAAAAGACAGGAATTTTTAAAAATGGAACGCTGTAAAAATATGCAACGTGTTAAAATTATAAAAAACCACCAAAAAATTAGTGATTCAAAAGTGCCTACAATTAGTGAATGAAGAGGAGATTATAATGCACCTAATCGCCCTATCATGCTAGCAATTGGTAAGATTTTAAAGAAAGTGAGGTTAGTGTGAAAGTGTAGCCGAAGGCCCAAATGTGTGTATTTCTCGACGTTCTCAATAGTTGGTACCTTCTTCAAGTTATGCTCTTAGACTTACATCTACATCTATACGAAGTACAGCTCATACAACAACTGAAGCCCTTCAGAAGGCCGTAAGCATGTCGATTGTGTGCTTCAGCAACAACTAGTAGAAGGAATTCTTCGAACAAAAAAATTTTTTTTTAGCGACGTTTCTCGCTCGCTGCATTGGTAAATAAGCAAAAATGTCGCTCCCGAAAATACTCAATTAATTACGAAAAGACAGATTTATTGTCTGGTAAGCTCGTTTGTCTGAAAGTGTGAACTTATGGAACTCACTTCTTTGATAACGAAAACAGCGAGACTGTCACTGTCAACTCGGAGCGATTTGGTCGTACGATAACCCACATTTTTGACCAGCAATTGAAAAATATACGCTTTCAGGAAGTTAGCGCCACATGCCACACAACACGGGCGAATATGTCTTTATTGCGAAAGAAATTCCCTGGTCACGTAATATCTCGTCTTGATGATGCCAATTGGCGAGATCTTACAATTTGATGCGTTTAGACTTTTCTTGCTGATGCACCAACCAATAAGTGGTTCAAAATGATCTCAAACGGAATGAGGCTTGCAAGGATCGTCAAATGAACATGCATACGTGTATATGCATATAAAAGATGGGAGAAAGGGCAACTCTTCTGATATTTTTTGAAATATTTTTTTCTTTTTTTAAATTACAATTAGATAAAAAACATATATAAATGCAGGAGGGAAATAAGACCTGTCATGTAGAGTAGTAAGTGATAGATAAATATTAAATAATATCACATAAAATCATGATATACATATATATTTATTAATTATCAGTGGCTTTTTTAAAAATTAAGAATAAAAAAATTCATATAAATTAATAAAAATGATTTTTGTTTGCATTCAAACACAGCGATAATTTATTCTGATTCATTTCAAGCCGTTACTTCAAAATACTATAAAGTCCGACGAATGCCCTCAACCCGCCAACTGACACGGGAGGCGACATACGCAAAACGTACGGAATGTGCCGAGTCATGGTTGGAAAGCGTTGTTTAAAAATTAAGTAAGGAGTTTAAAAATATTTCAAAAATTTTTACGTAAGAACTGTTATAATGTTTATAATTAAAAATACTATAAAACATTTTATTTAGATTGAATTCAAGCCATTAATTGTATCATAATTAAAAAAAAAATATTTAAATTTTCTTACATAAAAAAAAATAAAATGAAGTTGTGGAAGTTTTACATTAATTAAAAATTATTACCTATAAAATTTTAAAATAACAAAAATTCTATAAATTAATAATTTAAAGTTTTTTGCTTGTGGAATATTGTCTTTTATGAGTTTTTAGTTTTTAAGAAGCCAAATATAATTTTTTTAAGTGTTTTTGAACACTAATAACAATTTTTGGATTCGGTTACGCCTGATAATCATTTGTTCATAGGCTGATGTGGTTGGAATTATTATTTTTTGTTAAAATTTTATAAAACGCAAATTACCGAAAATCCGAAATTACTCTAAAAGGTCAGATAATATGTTTTTTAAATTTTAAATGAAAAATTATCAAAGTAATCATTTAAATTTCATTTGTCTGATTTGATTTCAAAAATTTTGATAAGGAGGTTTCTCGTGAAAAAAAAAATTAATTCAACTTTTTATATTTAAAACAAATATAAAAAACCGCAACACACATTTAGGATCGCCATTGTTGAAGATAACAAAAATATGTAAAAATAAAAAACTTGAGCTCATGTTATTCTAGTTACATAAATACATATGTACATACTATTATTTGCTTGTTTTGTCTTATCCTATTTTACAGCTCACACTAGGACTGCATTGCAGCAGGTATTTACAAAAATTATAACTAATTTATTTACTATTTTATTATTATTTTATTTATGTATATATATCTATATGTCGTATTTACTTATGCCTAAAACAGCAGACACACACATACATACATAAGCACATAAATTCTAAACGAAAATAGTAACTTTGGACTATATAAAGAAATACACATACATATATAGCATTCAGAGCAAATACTCGTTTTTAGCTCACCACACAAAACTCCATCAGCAGTTCATACGAGTGTATGTATTTGTAATTGTACCGGCATTTACATATATACCTCTTTAACACGCAAACGCAATTATTTACATTACAAATTCGCACATCAACAAACGCACTGCACACGCGAACTACCGCAGGCATGACTTTGGGGGGTGGCACACACATTATCATCTATTGGCCTACCACAACATGGGATGCTTGTGTGTTTGTGTATGTGTGTGCTTTTAATTATGAGCAACACCTTACAGACGCGCCGCGGAAGCGTAAACCGCTATCGTTGCCGGCGAGCGCACTGCACGCTTCGTCGCGCTGGTCACTTTAGCCGCCGCCGCTACCGGCATTGCCCCCGTGCGCGTCGCTGCCTCCTTCAGCTGCTGCTGCTGTTGTTGAAGTTGACCAGCGGCAGGCGCTGTTGGCGATGATGACGTCGACGTGCGATACAACGATTGCGGCGTCACTTCAGCGGCCATCAATTCGGCATTGCATTTAGTAGCCGCTTGGCGTTTAATTAACATTTGACTCGACTTGACCGCAATCCATTCGTTGCGCGCCGCATCGAACCAAGTCAAGCCCAGGTTGTAGCGACCATTCAGATTAGCGTGTTGACAATGTGAAAACCACCAGCCACCCTCATAGTTGGCGGCACAGTGCGTCTGTGAGATGTCACGATCGACATCGATAGCCGAGAATTGCATGCCCTGCTGGTAGTCGAGCGCATCGGAGGCATTGCCGCTGTAGCCGGCGGTATTGAGACGATAGCCATCGGCTCGTGAAGAAATATAGAAATGATCGTATTGAGCCAACCAAACGTTATCATAGATATCCTGCATCAGTACGCGTAATTGTGTGCAATTGTTGCGTGTAAGATGGTGCAGCTGTTCATTGCCAATCCAAAATTCGCCAGCTGGTTGCCCGAAACCGGCTGCGTAATCAGCCCAGGAACGATTGAAATCGGCACTACCATCATAACGACGCTGCACTGTGGTCCAACCGTCGGCCGTACATTGTACCATACGCGGTCGCTGTTGGCCGGCTGGTGAAATCATAAAGAGACTTGCCCCACTGCCACTCGGCACTTCGCTGCAATCCTGTGGGAGATTATGTATAATGGACTCGTATTGTTCTTCAACGTTTTCCAACTTTGCGACAAGCGATTCGGCGCCACCCCGTTCGGTGGGATTTGTTATGCTGTTGTTGTTGCTGTTGTTGTCATTACGATGTTGGTGATTGTGATGGGCATGTTTCTGGTGAGCATGGTGTAGCTGAAAGTGGAGGAAATGCGAAGAATACGTAAGAAAAATGTCATAAAATTTTACAATGAGACGTTGGTGGGGTGTGGGGTAGTCAGAGTTGAGTGAACTTCGGACAAGTTTCGCTGTGAGTGCGTTTAATATTCATACTTATAAGTACATACATATATCTACTGGAAGTTTATACGCCTGTTTGCCTCAAAATGGATTTTATTATAATTTGTACTGTAATCTGTGCGGCATGGCATGGATTTAGATGCCACGTGACGACTTAAACTTTCATGTTTGGAGCAATATGGTTGGCAAATTCAAGTTTTGCCTAATGTTTGTGTGACAAAGGGATTCGGGTAGTTATTTTTATCAATTTATAGTATATTTATAGCATTCTGATATTTTCCATCATTTTATAGATACACAAGTTAATAAATTGAAAAAAAAAAACTATAAATAGATAAATAAGAAAAGGCTTCTTAAAGAGATAAAGTCGCCGAAAAATAAAAAATTAAAGGGTGTAGTCAAGCTCCTGGGCTTGCAGTTATGTTCGCGCCGCCATATTTAATGCGCTAACCGACACGTATGGAGCCTTGGGTCACGCTAAATGGAAGAAGGCTTCAGTGGAGCCACTTCGCTGAAGTTTGCTTGCGAATCTATGCTGGGAGAGAGACCTAATCTCCGAGTACTGGCCTTTACTCCGGTGGATGAACATCTCACCATAATTCGCATAGAAGCCGCATTATCACTGATTTGCGGCTACGCTCCGACGGTAGAGTAGGACGATGTGGGTGAAGATGTCTTTTATAAGCGCTGCCGCGGCCACAATGTGAAAATTGCGCTTGGCGACATTACCGTTAGAGTGGTTAAAGAAGATACCTTCGGCACAACTGTCAGAAAATTCAGTCTCCATAACGAAACCTCTCCGAAAGGGTTGAGAATGATTGACTTCGCTGAGGTCCGGGTGTAGTACAAGCAAATGTAGCAAGCTCCTCGCTTATTGCCTGATCGAAAAACTCTCCACCTGATCGACAATTTTGTGATAGATGGAGGACGCAACATAGAAACGCACCGCCTTTTCTGGATAGAAAAAAGTGCTCCAGCTTTGATAGTTTTCGATGCCGAAACCGTCGGTGCAAAAAGAGCAAGAGGAACACCTCTATTTCTTTGGAATGACCCTGTAGAAAGGACCTGCTGGTATCTGTACTCGGTATTTTTTTAATGGCGCTAATTTGCGAAATGAAAAATGAATGTCGCAATATTTTTACCTCGACTATAACCGCGTGTGCGGTTTTGTCTACGTCAGCAAAGAAGAACAAGTATTTGACCAAACATTTCGAACAGCTATCGAAGATTTTTCGTTTTCTAAAATTAAAATTTCTTCAGCGTATTTTCCTTGATCTACTAATCTGTGTAACGTAACCCAACATTCTTCACCCTTCTTCAAAACTTGACCGCTAAAAGTATGCTCTTCGCTCTCTATTTTCCACTGACGATGCAGTCAGTAGCAGCACGTCCCTCTCGCTATGCTCTTCACGATTTCTTGCATTCAACAAAAAAAAAAAAAAAAAAAAAGAATTAGCCAGACGAGCGTAGAACAAGAGGATGGTGAATGTCAGGAGCACGTCGGAAATCATTTTGTGTCGTCTTTATGCCGGAAATACAATTTAAGTGTGGTACGCTTGAAAAGAACGTGTCAACAAAGTGAAATTTAAGAGTGCCTCTTGAGTGGCGGGCAGTTAGCGGGTGACCACGCAGAATCAAATGATGGATGAATGGATGGGAGTCCGAAAGGGAAAGGGAGTGTTGGACAAATCGTTGAAGAATGAACGAGAATGTGGGTGAGGTTTGATTGTGTAGTTTTGCGTGACCGTACGTGTGACTGATGACGAAGGCAAGCGAAGTAATTGAAATGTGTGTGAAAATAGCGGGTGTCTGTCTAAGTGAAGGGAGTGCTTAAACGAGTGGGTGAATGAGTGAGTGAATGAGTGAGTGAGTGACTGAGTGAATGCGTGCAGAGCGTGTGGGTGTGCCAAGTGAACTAGTGTTGACATGCGAACAAAATTGAACAATCTCGCACTCGTCGGACGCCGGAAAGTATAAATTTAACGAAAAATGTAGAAATAAAGAAAATCTATGTGAAGGAAGTGTAGAATATAAGTAAGTAGTAAATACAGTTGACAAAAGCGACGCGAAACGGATGTCACAGCAGCAGAACCAGCAGCAAATAATAAAGAAAGAAAACAGCGTAATGGAGACGAAAAAACCAACAGCAAATTACAGTACGCCAACGGAAACGGATGCTAACTTAGAACGCACGGATGTTGGCGTGGCTGAGCGTGTGGCTAACAAAGAAAGGGACGCTTGCAATAATGAAGAAAATGTGAAAAGTGTGTGGGAAGTTAGAACTCTTCGTATATGTGTCTGTGTGTGTGTGTGTGTGTGTGTAGAGAAAACAAAATGCGAAGGACAAACAGGGCAGCTCCAACAGCTGCTTCGCCGGCAACTTAGCAAGAAAACTAAAACAAATATTCACACTCGTATATGCATACTTATTGTTATGTATGCGAGTCTCCTCTTACGGCAGAGGGAGCAAAAGTGGGTTGGCGTAAAAGTTTCGAAACAGTCACGCGTCGTTGGCTACACTAAATTGCTACCATTTAAGCTCGTATGCTGCAGATTTACGCTCGTTATGTGATTTTCTTTCCGCCCTCTACATTTTCTCTTATTCTTTTTTTGCCTCTTTTGTTATTTTTCGCAATTTTAAATACGCTTTATTATTTCAGCACTTTGTGAAAAATATAATAGAAAATTGCTTAAAAATGAGTTGGATTTGAGCGAGTTGTGGGGAAAACATTGCACAGGAAATGAGTATAACAAAGTGTTTCCGGTCATTAAATTGATGGCCTTGCATATGTTGACACGGACTGATTGCTTCGTGGCGGTCAACAATGAATTTGTAACGCTTTTTCTTCTCCATTATTTGCTTTTCGTTGTAATCTGATTGCTGTTGAGAGCGAAATTTTAATACGCAGATGACGTATCCAATGCTCAACGAATTATGAATAATAATTTACTGTTCAAATGACTAATTGAATGTTGATTCAATGCATGGATAATATTGAATATGAAAGAAAATGACAGATATTTTGAAAACCAATGCAAAAACACTGAAGTGCGAGTTTCCAGAATCCGATTTGCGAGATACAAATTATCATTGAAATAAATGAGTTATTATAGACGCGTCAATTGTTAACTAATAATAAAATAATTACAAATTTTATGAGCCTTTTTGTAACAATAAAGTGAAAACACTCTCCAGTCCTTCCTAATAATTTTAATTTATTTTTTATGGATTAAAATTAAATAATATTAATTAAAAGAATAAAATATAAAATATTTATATGAACTAAAATAAAATACTATAAAATAAAATTCAATCAGTAAGAATTAAAACAATATATAAAGAAATAAATAAAATTATTTATATTAAATTATTTATGCTAATTTAATTCAACTAAGTTAAGCTTTATTGAAGGAAATCAAATTAATGAATATTAATTGAAACAAAATAAAATAAAATTTAAAGAAAAAATTAAAAAAAAAAAATAAAATAAACTTATATAAAATAAAAATTAGATAAATAATAAAAAAAAATTAAAAATATAAAAATAAAAAATATAAAAAAATAAAATGAAAAAAAAAAACAAAAAACTAAAATAAAATGAAATAAACAAAATAAAATAAATTAAAAAAAGAAAATAAAGAAAATGAAATGAAATTAAAAAAATAAATTAAATTGAAATTAATTAATAAGAAACATAAAATTAAATAAAATAAAAAGAAATAAATAAAATAAAATAAACTTATATAAAATAAAAAATGAATAATAAACAAAGATAGAAATATAAATATAAAAAAATTACAAAAATAAAATAAAACATAACGCAAAAAATTAAAATAAAATAAAGTAAAAATAGAAAATAAAAAAAATGAAAAAAAGGAAATGAAATAAGAAAAAATAAATTAAAATGATATAAAATAAAATGAATAAAATAAAATAAATAAAATAAAATGAAATAAAATAAAATGAAATAAACAAAATAAAATAAAATAAAAAAAGAAAATAAAGAAAATGAAAAAAATGAATTAAAATGAAATTAATTAATAAGTAAAATAAAATGAATTAAAATAAAATGAAATAAACAAAAAATTAAATAAAATTAAACAAAAAAAATCTGAAATTAAATGAAATAAAATAAAACAATGAAACAAATTAAAGTAAAATAAAATAACACAAAAGACAATAAATTTAAAGAAACTAAGATAATAAGATAAAATCTTATGAATATAAAAAAATTTAATGAAAACCAGGTAAAACATTATTTATTTAAAGAATATTAAACAGTATAAAAAAAGTTAAATTTAGTATAAAAATAAAAAAAAAAAATGTGATATAATAAAATTAAATAAAATAAAGTAGATAAAATGAAATATATTTAAGTAAAATGTAAAAATATGACAAAATAGAAGAAGAAAATAAGATGAAATAATATTAATTTAATAACATAAAATAAAATAAAATAAATAAATTTAAAATAATATAAAATATAATATAATAAAAAAAAATAAGAGAATAATAAATTGGATTTTAAAGTGAAAATTCTTATTTTATTTCAAAACAAGTAAACTGCAAAACATTATAAAATTTTGCGATTAATTTTCGTTTTATTATTTTTGTTTTATTAACTTTTGTTTTATTAGTTTTTTTTTGTGAATATAACTACAACTAGCGCTTTTGAATTTCTTAAGTGCTTTTCGGGCGAACTCATCTTTGGATTTGAGATACATATCTTAATAGTTTTTTTTTCAAATAAACGGTTCTTCCCTCCTACAGTTTATGTTAAGCCGCCTCCGACTTTCATGAGAATATTTATATTTCAGTTCAGATAAACACTCGGAGGACTTGCAATACTCTGAGGAGGGGGAGCGAAATTAACTTAATTTTCAATAATTTTCGGCGTGATGGAACCCAAAACCTTCCGCTTAGTAGAAGGCATTGGCAACCACTCGGCTGTCCCGGTAAAAACTTAACATGAAATTAGGAAAAACACTCACTGTTCGAATATTAGTGATTTCTCTACGTTGGAAAGTATAAAACCTTTGCTTACCACTAACGACTCTGAACATCGCAGAAGAAAAAAAAAATCTATCAATCAACTTCAATTTGCTACAAACAAACAACAAAATAGCGATTTCTGTATATTTGAACATTCCTCAATTCTTTACCTTGTGTTCCACACTATGCTGTTTCTGTTGCTGCATCACCGCACGTTGCATATCCTGTGACACACTCTCCAGGCGATCCAATTTGCCCTGCAACTGTGCAACCAATGCCTGCGTTTGTTTATTAGCATCGCGCTCATCCTGCAACGTGCTCACACTCACTGCCATCGCTTGTACGGAACGCGCCACATTTTTACCCTCCTCACGCACCAGACTCTGCTCGGCGGTAAGTTGGGCGTTGGTGAATTCTAATTTGGATATTTCATGCCTCAATTCCGGTAGGTTTTTGTCCATTTTCGTTTGCAAACTCTCGACATCTTCGAGCAGCTCTAGCATTGAAGTGTGCAATTTATCGAGTGAGGCAATTTGTCGACTCAAATTGAAATTGGCATCGGCCATACGATGCTGTTCGATTTCTAAGCCTCGTACACGTTCGCCAATACGATGATACTTGAGTTCGTTCAATTGGGATTTGAGTGCATGTTGGGCGAGTTGAAGTTCATGGATTTGCTGACGTTGGAAGCGGCAGTGACGGCGTTTGTGATCGGCGGCCATAGGGTCGGTGATTAGCTGGAAGAAAGGAGAATGGGTTAATATGATTAGTGGGGGTATGATTTGGTAAGTGATACATATGTATGTATGTATGTGAATACATATTATTAAGCAAAATATTTTAGAAGGATCTTCTAGACGATTTTTAAAAAATCTGAAAGTTTCAAGAACTTTTATTTATTTATATAACATTATCATATAAAAGAGAGTGTTTCTCGTACCAATCCGAATGATTTTATATTGACGGAAAGATTTCGATAAATTTACCTCAAAGGGAGTAGGGCTTTTATAAAAGTTACACCATCGCCCCAAAAAAAAAAAAAAAAGATTTTAACTGGAATTATTTTGCCACTTGTAAAAGAATAGATTTGGACCAAAATTTCTTTCTAAATTATACGCATTTCTAAAGCTTTTTTAATTTAGACAGCTTGATATTTTCCATTTATGCACATATGTGTGCACATAAATAAAAAATAATAATATTAATATTTGTGTTAATTGAAATAATCTACACTGATCTTGCCTGTATTGAAAATAAAATTAAGAGGAAATATGCTAGAAATTATTCCGAAAGCTGGGAAAAAAATTAAGAATTTTAAAGAATTAATCAACCGTTTTTATGGTTTATAAAGCTATGTTAATTTATAAAATATTTTTTAAGGTGGAATGCATCAATTCTTAAAAGTATGTCTTGGCTTAAAAGCGCTTTTGCTCCAGCTCTTTTGTTTCCTTAAAAGAATATGGAATAAAACCAGGCAAACCTAAAAGGGATATACAAATTTTTAATAATACACAAATATACATATTTATATGTACGCGCTATGAATACGTTCGACTAGACCAAGCATTGTACGGTCACTTGAGGTTGCAACAAAATGTGGCTCCCCACAGACAAGTTGCTAGCTTTCATACACAATTTTTTCTCACTACAAGCATATGTATATAAGTGGGGAAAAATTTTCATCAAAGCAATATGCAAATAAAAGTGCTTTAAAATAGGGAAAACTATAGAGGCGAAAGAGAAGCATAAGTTGCATTAACTGAAAGTTCTTACGCGTATGTAAAGGGTGTTGCAAAACTAATGTAAGTTTGGATTTAAATAGAAAGCATAGCTTTTAGTCTTCACATTGTAATTTTTTTTTTTAATCATAAAGTACATAGGATAGGGTTTTACATGGAGTTTCCGCCTTTCAAGTACACGTTGTTGTGGGTTCATTACAAAAAAAAAAAAAAAACAGTGATTTTCAACAACTCTATATAATATATATATACTATTGGATATCCTTAGTTTCAAAAAAATATTGTCCAATTATGCCTCCAAATCAAAATCCGCTTAAAATGTGTCAAGTTTGTTTGTTTCTTGACAATCACCTAAAGCGGCATGCTTCATCGCTTAGTATGATTTTGTTCAAAAAATCATAATTCATTTGCTGTTGCTGAGCAAACCAATCAATAAAATCTCTTCGCTCTACATGATCATAAGGCTGCAGTTGTTAGTTAATTGAGTTTTGAGAGTATGAGGGTCTTCAGTGAGTATATGCTGTAGAAAACTTCGAAAAATTTGTCATTATTGTCCACCGACTCTCTAACTCACTGCTTCGATATTGTCCAGTCTGTTTGGTTTCTCTATGGAGTTTTTCAATTAATCCCTTACTGGTTGAGGATAATGAGAGGCAATTCCGACCTTATTTCATATTTTGTATGAAATTTTCGAACTGTGGAAACCAAACTGTAGTATGTCCTTTTTTTAATACTCGATTTTTTTCACTTTTTAATAAATTCTTAATACGTCTGCTATAAATAATTTCGAAGAAGGTGTGCATAACTATTTGTCGCACGTCAAAAAAAAAAAAGAAAAGATATAAATAAATAAGTAAATAAAAAAATAAGAATAATAATTAAAAATTATGCCAGCCTAATAAAAAAATCATAATCTATATTCTAGGCAATCACATACAAAAAAAAAAAAAAAAAATACTTAAATTGGCTGCTATATATAGAAATTAAAAAAAAATCCAAATCAGACAGTTTCCTTTGAGAACGCCCCACTTTACTTTGAAAAACAATCAACACACTAAAATACGCCTTGTGCATGTAGATATGCATACGTCCCTTAACCGACAAAGGAAAGTCGGTAAACTCAGTTACGCCAAAAATTTTACTTATATTTCATAATATGTGTATAAAAATGTATGTGTGTATTTTTGTTAAATTTTCGGCATTTTCCCCTGATTCATGTGTATGTGTGTCTGTTTTTTGTGTGGATTTTTAGTTCGAGTTATATTTTTCGAAAATTGAAGTTTATAAACGAAGTCGATTTTAAAAGCAAGTGCAAGTGCAATAGCACAATGTAAATATATATATTTGTATGTACACATATACGTTTGTACTAATGCCAGTAGTGCTAGTACTGCTCTGCCACACACTCATGTAAATATTTATGTGTTTGTAAACTTTATTCCCCGTCTCTGGCAAGTTTGTATTTACAACTCGAGCGAAAATAAACGAAAATTGAATTTACTATTACCAGTTTCTCTACTCTTTCTTTAGTTGGTTGAATTGCTGAGGATTACTATATATTCTATTAAGTGCTCTATGGTACTGGAGTTTAGAAGCCACACTAAATGTAGGAGACTTTTCTTTTATTTTGAGTTTTGTGTATGAAAATATTTTCAAAAATACTTAGATATTTCAATGTGAATTCTCGAATTAGTATGATTTAATATGCAAGAAGACAATCTTATGAAAAATGGGAATTTAATTTCATGAATATTAATAATATGTCGAAACAAAAAATATAGTTGAACATAAAAATTGATTCAACATGAATTATATTTAAGAGTAAGATATTAAAAAAATATATTTTCTATAATTTAAAATAATGGTCTGGAGGGGCATCAAACCCGTGACCTCCTGCATGACAATACGCAGCCTTAACCACACGGCTAATGTGACGGCAAAACAAAACAGAGTTGAACATAAAAAGTAGCCAAGTTTTTTACAAAATTTTCAAATAATTTGTTTGCAAACATAAAAAGAAGTGAAAAAAACATATAATATTTCTACACATGAAATATGTCTAACCAACATTTTTTTTAATCCACTAATATACATATACATTTATAATAATTTTGAATAATTTGTTTTAAACATCAGAGGTAAATAATCAAAGAACATTTTTAGACATAAAATATGTTGAGCCATAAAGGGTGTTTCAACTTATAATGTTTTAATTAAAAAAAAATTGTTTACAAAATAAAAAAGGAAGGTCACCATAAAATATTTCTAGACATAAAATATGTCTAGCCGAAAAATATGTCTTTACACTTATAATAAACACAAACATATATATGTAATAATTTAAAATAATTTGTTTATAAACATAAAAGGAAGGTAAACATAAAATATTTCTGGACATAAAATGTGTCTAACCTAAAATATAATTTTTACAATTCGTAATAAATTTAAACATGTAGTGGTGCTGAATATGTTGCATAGATAAACATAAAATATTTGCAAGCATAAAATGTTGCTCGACATAAAATTTAGGCAAACAATAATCATTTTTTTGAATTGAATTTTGCGGAATAAAGATTATTCCAAAGGAAAAAATTTTTTTCAAGCCAATAATTAATATGAATATTATACATTCACATAGTAATATGTTTAAACAAATACCTTAGCTAAACATTAAATTTAGCTTAACATAAAATATATTTAATTATAAATTGTTTCTAAACAGAGCCGAAATGTCATCAAAAATTTTAACATATTGCTAAACAGAAAAATGTCTTACCAAAATATTTTTTGTTAAAGCTTATAATATGTTTGAATATGTAATATTGCTGAATAGATAATGTGGAAAGAGTTAAATCTGTTTGAACATTATTAAGGAAAATCTAAATTTATTCAGACAAAAAACCTTTTTAAGTTAATTTTTGTTCTTATTTTCTTTGCTTTAAACTAAATTACAATTTTTTCTAAACTTAAAATTAGATTAACCATAAAAAGTTCTTAAATTTAAAATTTAGCTGCACTTTAAAGATGCTTAGAGTTGTTTTTAGTGAGACTTGAATTACATAGTAAAATTTTTGCATTTTTTTAATGCTAAACAAATTTGTATGAGAAAAAGTATTGCTAAACTTAATATTTTATGAGAAATATTAAAGAAAAAATCAAAGCGTAAAGTATTTCTAAGCGATGGCATTTGGATAAATATTATATGAAGTAAGATGAAAAAAAAATGTTTGCTAAGCAAACTTTCAAACTAATTAAAAATTTTCAATTATTTCTTTCTTTCTTTTCGTTTTCTTTAATTTAAATCATTTTCTATATAACAATTTTTTCACGCTAAATATCAATACAATTTCTTAGCGCAAACTATTTAATATTTCAATTAATTCTGATTTAATTTATTTGTGCTTTTATTATAAAAACGGCAAATTTAATAAACATGAGCCAACCGAATGTAGAAGACTTAATCATAATGCATATTTTAGTAGTCTTTAGTGCTACTCGCTTTAATATTCACACCGTGTCCTTACTACTCGTTTATTGTGCATACGTGTATGTATGCATGTACATGTACTAGTCTAATTTTATGTATAGTAGATATGCATGTTAGTCTGCTAGCCGACATGCCTTCTAAAGTTGTAGCAAAATGAGCACACTTAACGGTACATTAAAAATTCATTTTCATTTTTATTGCAGAAATAGAAAAGACGAATATGCAAAAAAAGGATATTATGAAAATGTTGGAAAATGTTATATAAGCGCGCATTTTAGCGTACACATTTACCAAGTCTCAGTTACATACTCACACTCATACATATAATTGCGTACTTATCTAAAGTATATGCACACGTTGAAAGCGTTGTTTGTTTGCCTTAGAAAGCCAGTTAATTAGCACACAAATCTATGAACATATACAGTTATAATATACACGTACTACTATACATATATACGTATATATATATATATATATATCTAAGTACAAGTATATAAACACGTTTGTGTGA